AAAGCCGGTTTTCAGTCACGACCAATTATACGTAGCTGTTTCATGTGTCACTAATCGAAAGGGGTTGAAAATTTTTATTTGTGGTGAGGATGGTGCCTACAATGCAAACACAGAATGTTGCGTACAAAGAGGTTTTTAATAATATATAATTTTTTTATTTCTTATTTTGTTTTGTATTTTTTATTCACACAAATAATAAAAAAATATTGATATTGATCAAATTACCTGAAAACTGTTCACCCCGCGTATCGCACGGAATCCGTACTAGTTAGTTATAATATATAATAATAATATGACATAATATAATAATGAAAATATCTATTTTCACCCTGTTTTGAAGTCTTGCTAAGTTTTTCACACTGCCCAATAAAAAGCTAAATTTTTCACCCCAGAAAGTGCGAAGGTTATGCGAAAACTGTCGCATATTCATCGCATAACTGTCCATATGCGAAGGTTATGCGAAAAACTGTCGCATATCAATTGCATAACTGTGCGAAGGTTATGCGTAAACTGTCGCATATTCATTGCATAACTGTCCATATGCGAAGGTTATGCGAAAAACTATCGCATAGCTGTCGCATATCAATTGCATAACTGTGCGAAGGCATTTTGCGATGAATATGCGACAGTTATGCAATTGATATGCAACAGTTATGCGACAGTTTTTCGCATAACCTTCGCATACGGATAGTTATGCGATGAATATGCGACAGTTTTCGCATAACCTTCGCCTTTCTGAGGTGAAAAACTTAGCTTTTTATTGGACAGTTTGAAAAACTTAATTTGTCTTTGTTATGGGGTGAAAATTTTTTTTTCCCTAATATAATAATAATAATAGTAATAATAATAATCTCTCCTATATATAATTCCCGAATGCATTGAGCCTACGTGACTGTTTCTAGTTCTTCGGAATTCTACTTGGCGAAGAATCATACTTCGTAATTAGGTTTGAACAAATAATATTGATATATTAATAATTAATAATCTAGGTTCAGACATTCCATAAACATTATTTAGCTAACTTAGGTATTTTAATATCACTTGTACTAATATAACTCTTTAATTCTTTGTAATTTTACATAGTGAGACACTAAGTGACTAATATATCACTGACTTTAGATTTGCTTCCTTCAATTAGCTATTTAATTGTAAATATATTTTAAAAGTTGATAATTTTTATATTTCTTATCAATTTTACATATATAATATATCAAATTAATCATCTTTTGATGATTTTCTATTTGACATTCATATTGTATATATGAAATAAATAAATTATATTTATCATTATAATAATAAAAAATAATAATATTTATTAAAATTCATTAGAAAAATAAAATCATTTCTCAATTGATATATTTATGTTTAATGTAGTTATATGTTGTAAGTTAAAAAAACTATTATATTATAACACATGTAAGTTGCACAAATAAAAAGTGTCATACTAAATATATAATAATATATATATATATATTTATAAAAGGTATTTAAATTTTCAATTACTTTTTCTCATTAATTTTAGATTTTGAGAAAAAATTAGAAAGCACCCGTGTAATACACGGGCGTTGTACTAGTAATATAATAAAATAATAATAATAATAATAATAATAATAATAATAATAATAATAATAATAATAATAATAATAATAATAATAATAATAATAATAATAATAATTAAAAGAATTGAGGCCGAATTGAACCGACACGTGCACTTTATCGCAGCTAATCCCAGCCCGGATGTGTGTGTGTGAAATTAACCGGAATTGATAAACCGATGGTACGTCCGGTAGTTTGGTAGCTCTTCCGGCTGCTGCTTGGGTCAAAAGAACCCATTTTCCTGCTATTGTGTGTGAGAGAGGGCGGCGGCGGAATGGCGAATTCATCGGTTTGGTAGGTTCTTCAAACCCTTATGCGGCTATGCACTCATCAATTTTCTCTTTGTTCTAAAATTTTTCCTAAGTAGTTTCCATCACTCCATCCATTTTGTCTGAATTAATACTTGCCCAGATGACTTTTGGGTATGCGCGGATTTTTTTTTCGATTCATGTCTTTTTTGTGTTCTGATTGTGCTTGAAGATTGATATGTTGGTGGTCTAGATTTGAATGGTTAATTCTTGTTTGTTTGATTGATTCAGATGTTGATTAGGCAAGTTGCATGAGAATTGAGAACTCGGCGTCAAATTCAATTTTGGTCCTTTTGCTGATTCTTCTGAAGTCTGTTGCTGTAGAATAGCTGGTGGGGTTTAAGAGGATGGACCTGGTGGCTAGTTGCAAGGTGAGTAACATAAGATTTATTAGCTTAAATAGTTGGGACTTGTGTTTTGCCGGTTCGCCTTCTCTGTTATTAGATTGTGCTTTCTTTTGAATTCGTCAGTTTACTGTTGTATTGGTTATGTCTGATATGGTAATAGTTTCAACGATTGATCGTCCCTTGGACGTTATGTGTGCCGGTACGGTACCAAATACCCTCCCCTCCTAACTGAAGCCGAAATGAGATGCATTAGCAGCTTTTTTCGTCTTGCTGAGCCGTGCATGGCATTGTTTTGAGACACATAATTCATATATAATTCACTATTGTTGAACAACAGCTAAACTTAGTGAATATCTAATATTGCAGACTCATTTGTGAGATTTTCTTAGCAAACCTGTTTAACATGTGAAGGTTGATATATTACTGTGGCCTGCTATACTTGCATAATTTGTTCATTGGATGTTAAATTCATCCAACTTAAGTGACAAATTCCTATATGTGGCTCATTTTAATGTGTCACCAGAATGTCGATAGTTGTATACATGAATTTGTGACTTTAATGGTGATTTATGCATATATGTAAATCTCATCGATTGTTCGTGCACTTCTTATGCGTGCCTTAGAAATGAAATGGTTAGTTTTCAACCTTTACAGGTAAATTAGCAGCTGCCAAACCACTTCTTAAGAAATTGACGCCAAAGTATTAACTAAATATTAAATATTAAAAGACTTTTCTGTTCATTTGCACTTGGGAGTCTAGTAAGAAATTCATTTGGAGAGTCAAAGTTTAATCAACATATTTAACTAGAAAAATAATTAAAAAACTGATAAATGGGTATGGCTAAAGGTTAAAATTAAAGTAATTATGTTGATTTATGTTGCTTTGAGCCTGATGCTGACCCAGATGGTGAAACTCGATAAAATGCAAAGAAACTTCACCAGTACTATTCCTTTATCTATCAGTCTGCTGTGTTAAAATCCGGTTAGGTGGATGTTGAAGTTAAGATCTAAGGGCAAGCTATTAGTCCGATCTTTGTCACCGTTATGGTTAAACATTTTTGTCGTGCAAGTTTTGATTATCATTCTTGTGGTGATTTGTAGCCATGACTTATTGAGAAAAAGATGTCTTTCAGAGTTAAGCTTATTAGAGAAGAATTACTTTTTATATTCCAGATGGCTGACTGGTTTTGCATGCATTATTACTTCTCTTTCAAATGCTCCTTTGTCGCAGAACATTGTTTTCTTTACTGCTTTCCATGCATGGGATCATCTTTCTTTTAATTTCTTCATAACATGGAAGGGATAATGGGATGCTAGCAATCTGAGAGAGAAATGGTGTAATATGATTTCTTTATTTTTTGTCCCACACAGTATTCTAAAGAATTGGGATTTGGAAGTATCATGATGTTAATTCTCTTAATTCTATGTAATTTCAGAGTGACACGTACATGTATTTATTTAGTCATTTTCACCTTTTATGCGTAAAAAGCCTAAAATTACGGGTTGTTGCTGTCTACAGCATGTCATGTTGTCTAATAAAAGTAGCAAATTCTATAATTTCAATTTGCGTCTTCATAAATGTTTTGATTTCAAGCAGAATATTAATCTTTCAAGTCCTAATTAATTCTGAATCTTGTCGGGAAGAAATAAATGGGAACTATTATCCACATTAAACGACGTCAATAAGATGAATATAACTTTGAGGAAAACTTAATTAGGAAAATCACCAAAGAACAATAAATGAAATGTAACAAAAGCATTTCTTGTGCGTCGCCTTTTCTTCTGTTAAACATTCCCTAGACGCTTGCTTCCATTAACTCATATCTGCTGTCGCGAAGGTTGATTGTGGCCATTTTTTCTTTGTTTTTCCTTGATCTTAGTTTCATGCAAAATTGAACTCTCAATCAACTGTTATTCTGTTCCCTTGCTATTGTCTTCAGACTGAGAATTGTTAGAAATTGAAATTATAAAATTAGATAAAAAATGCGAACATCATTGGCGCTGCTTCTGCACCCTAAGCATTTGTTTGAACTCTGCTCGTTGGAGTGTCAACCTGTTCTTTCCTTTTATTTGATCTCGCTACCTAACTAGGCTTATTTTCCTTCAAGTTTAGATATGGGAAATGGGGACTCGGGTCACATCTGTATTTATTACTCTCTGGAATTCAAATTGCGTCATCAGAAAGATCACGGATGTAGAGCCATCTGCTGCGGTAACCAGTGTTATCAAATTTCCGCTATGGCAGCACCGTGGCATGGTGTATTTCTGCCTAACCGCTATTATAAATTTGTGAAGCCGCCATGGCAGGCGCTGTGGCGGGATTTCAGCCTGACGCCAGTTTCTGCCATCTGCCTTTGATAACACATGCAGAAACATACTTCTTTGAGCTTTGAAAACCTGTTGAATCAGGTGTATAGGGTCTGACAGCTTAATTGTTTTCTTCTGATTTGTTTTGGGGTTTGAGATTTCGTAGTTTGAGTGTTCTACCTGTATTATTCTACCCAATGATGGTTGAAGAGTAAATTTATTTCTTGGTTTTTGACAAATAAAAGCATTGTTTTGGAGGAAGTAGGAGTTTTCTTTAAAGATCTTTCCAGATCTGTCTTCCAAGAAAGCAGCAACATGGTGGATAGTGTATTTTCTGTTTTAACATACTACTGTGGCGGAGTGGAATTTACGTAATTTTACTGGCTGGTCAGAGGCAGAAAAATTTCAGGTGATAAAATTCATATTTCTGTTGAAAAGGTGAACGGGGTCAATAGCAAACTACCGAAATTACCTGCCTTAAGCTACAAACCACCAGGAAGCTCTCTATTATTGGTTGAAACATACAATTCAACCATAGGAATTTTATGCTTCTGATAATCTTACAGTAAATTGGTCCATAAATGGAGTATGTTGAGTTGCTCATAGATGCCTAAAGTTCAGTAAGTTCTGATAACAAGCTACTAGTACACCTATTTTTAGATCACATGTAGATGCACCTGCTAGGATGTAGGAAACAAGTGAATTTTCATTTGCAGTTGAGCAAAAAGAGGATGTTCGATCTATGTGATTAATTCTCATGAGAGATGTGGGATGCTATTCCTTCTTTAAAACATGGTCCATGTTCTGTGTAAGATCAGAATCTAATGGAATTTCTGGGTGGAGCTCAGATTGGTATCCTAACATTGAGACTTACATTTCTTTTAGATGATATTATATCCTTCCCTTGTTTAGCTGACGAGAAATCAGGTTGAGATCGATGTTTTGATTGTTTATACATGCCGAAGTTTTGTCCTACAATGATATCCATTGTCCATAGAACGAAAATTTGATTTTCTTTCTAACTTTTGATCTTTGTGAAACGTGTGAGCGATTTTATTTTGACTTGCAGGACAAATTAGCATATTTCCGAATAAAGGAGCTCAAAGATGTCCTTACTCAGCTAGGTCTTTCAAAGCAGGGAAAGAAACAGGTTATATGTCAACAATATTGCTGATGTTAAATACTTTCTTTGTTTGAATTTATGAAGAATCCTTTGTTACTGCTAGCCTTCATTATTTATTTATGAAAACTTATAAAATGTGTTCCTCATTATTGTAGAAAACCTAGGTTAGATTGATTCTTTGGTTTTTGTTGCCTGCATATAATTTTTATGGCAATTTATCTATTGTGTCACAGTCATTATAGACAAAATACCTGGAGTTCAATGTATTTCTTCTTAGTTTTTTGGTCTAGACTTTGGCTTTTGAATGTAGATTGTGTTTATCAAACTTAACCCAAGTAACTGACTAAATACTAATAGGCTTAGTTTTACTTAAAAATTCTTTGGCATGTTCATACATACAAGAGTTTTAGTGGTTTGCCTTTGTTTTTCATGGCACAGGATCTTGTTGATCGAATATTGGCCGTTCTTTCTGATGAGCAAGGTAAGTCAGAATGTGATCTTTTAGTTACTTAGCTTGCAAAAAAAAATCTGTTTTAAGGTGTTGGGATTGCTTATTCTGTTTCCTCTACAGCTGACACCTAGATAGTTGGAAGGATAATTTACAACTAATAAATGCTTACATAATCATTCTGGTTGATAATTTGGGTTTCTATTTCTTGCTTGCGTGGGTGACCTTTAGAATATAAGAAGCATTGCATGGAGTTCATTATTTTCTGTTCTTCTAACTTTAAAATCTTCTTTTCCTGTGATCGATGGATTCTACCTACAGTGTACCTAGTATGTGAACCAGTTAGGAACTTCGAACATTTAAATCTCCTCTTGAAGTAGATTTATTAAATTTGGATTTGGCTGTTCATCTGCACTTGAGGCTATGCTATGCCTTATCTTTCTGTTTTCCTTTTGGAAGTAAATTTCACAACTTTTTAGAATACCTGTTAACCACCAATTAGTCTCAGGTCTGACTCCTTCCACCAATTTTGATATCCATTATAGACAAATTAATATCTCATATGGTCCTTGATGATGTTTTATTTTGCACTGGCAAAAGAAGTAACTTTGAAATTCAGTTGACTTAACTAGCTGAGTAAAGCAATAGTTGTATCATCTATTTCATGGCTCTCCTAGTTGGATATTGATCAAACAGGAGGAAGACAGTGTGGATGACATGAAAAGAAGTTCTTGACATGTCAATGCTCTTTTGCTGATCTAACCAAAAAGCTCTTCTTCTCTCTTTTTTGCTTATAAAAGATGGTATCACTTAGAATGGAAATCGACGAAGTTAATTTTTGGAACGAAATGCTTCATTCACCTATTTGGATGCCTTTTAATGATGGATTGCATTCCATTCCAAGATGTCCCTAATATTGTATTTCACAGTTTCGGGAATGTGGGCAAAGAAAAATGCAGTTGGAAAGGAGGGAGTGGCAAAGCTAGTTGATGACACTTACAGGTGTTATTTTCTGTTCTGTTCATGGATTATTGTCACTTGTAGAAATATATGCTTGAATTCTCTATTCTCCCTCGTTCATGATTATATTTTTAATTCACATTTTCCAATATTAAGAATCCAATATGAAAAATACAATACATATTGACTTGTACCTTTGACTACAATAAGCAAACAAGTTTAAAGAGAAAAACTAACAAACGAGCAGGTGGAGGAAAATTGTGGAAACTAAAACTGAGAGTTTTGCAACACTGCATAAAGTTGTGTATACAAAAATTGGAATGGAAGGTATCCCTTTTTTCCTTATTAGATGATCTTATATATGTTTTTCATCGCTATTTTCAGAAAAATGCAGGTTTCCGGGGCGGCTGACTTAGCCTCAAAATCGCAAGCCATTTCTGATAGTCAAAGCGCAAAACATAAAGAGGAAGCTGAAGATTCTTATCAGGTGGAAAAGATTCGATGTGTTTGTGGAAGCACCTTGGCAACTGATTCAATGATCAAGGTGATACATATTTGCTTATAGAGGACCTTAATCTTGGACATACCCTTCGTGTCTGGACTTTATATTTTGCCTTGGAGAGTCTTTTGAATATTTTAGCTATTGAAATTTGTTGCAGTGTGAAGATCCTAGGTGTAATGTTTGGCAGCATATGGCATGCGTGTTGATTCCTGAGAAACCCGTGGAAGGTGTCCTACCAAACCCACCAGATATCTTTTACTGTGAAATTTGCAGACTGAGTCGTGCTGACCCGTAAGTGGCAATATTCCTATTTCAGTGGTGTCATTTTATCATATAAAACTGAGGGAAAATAGATGTTTCTTTATTCAACTCCTAAACTGAATTACAACTTCTTCCACTTTTAATAAGTAGTTGATGTTCTGAGTTACGTGACACCGTTTGACTTTAAATGGTAAAAAGTGGAAACAGTTAGTTCAGCCATTACAATATGACTTAAACTCTTAACATGTGGCAGTACAGTAATTTTTTTCAGTGAGCTGTTAAGTTTGCATATGTATATAGATTACCACTATGGTTATGTATATAAAAATATTTCTTCAGTGTAGAAGGACGGTTGTCTGTTGGTGCAAGAGGATTTTTCTCATCTTTTTCTCCCTTGTCTTATTTTTTCTTCATTTTTTAAGAACTCGCGAATGTCTTTTCCTTTGTTTGGAACTGTTCAAGGAGGCCCGGAGTTGTGTTTTGATGATAGCATTCTCTTGCACAAGTGTTTCTTAGAGATTTGAACTTACTCAAAAGGAAAGATGTAGATAAATTTTCTTTGCGTTTTACAGGCTTTTGATTGGGCATGCCCAAATAAGATGTATTATCTGTAAAGCATGGTAACTCAATGTTAGGCAATTAGATGTCGTGGTCCCTAATTTGGCTAATCGTAAGTTTTTGCTCTTGTATAATACTTTGAATTTCGGGGGTAATGGTTTTAAGGATTGTTTAACCATTTAGGTAGAATCAAATTCAACCTAACATTGATCTTAAATTAATAGCGTTTCTCATGGTCATGCTTGCTGTTTAAGTTTTTGTTGGAGAAATTTTAATGGCTCCTTTCCTAGGGAGTCTGTAAGGAAAAGGTCTATTTACGGATGTATAGGTTGCTTATTATTATCCTTTCTTTTCCTATTATCATATTGGATGCAAACAAAATCTTAGCCTAAGCTTAGTCAATTTTCTCCATTTTGATCCAAGGTTTTGTTCTAATTCTCTTCTTGTGCCTCTCTCCTTGAATACTTATCATCATCATTTCTAAGCCCCGTGATGCTGCTCTTACATAAATTATTTATACTCATCATAGAAGGTATCTAAACTCTAAGCAAACCTTGCATTTAGTTTTATTCTGGCATTTATGGTCTTTAAAGGGACTATGTAAATTGTTATATTTTGGTTTGTGTTGTCCACAAGTTTTTTGAAGATTGTTGTTCCTCAATCTGAAGTAAAATATTATTAGCATATTTGGCCTAAATACTATTTTGTTCTTTTTTGCTGGGTCTAAATTTTGGGACCTTTGTTACCTTGTGATGTGGTTGAACTTTCATTATGCAGCTTTTTGGTGACAGTTGCACATCCCCTTAATCCTGTTAAGTTGAATATCACTAATGTTCCTGCGGACGGGTAAGTATATGCTGGAATCTTTTTAGCTGTTGAACTTCAAGATGTATCATACATTATGCGCAAGTTAGTTACTTGTTGACATGACCCTAAACATTCTGTTAGATTTATCGTATAATTTTATTTAGCTGTTATGAGTTCTTTGTAACCTGGATCACATAATATGGACGATATATATATAT